TTTGAGAGCCTTGACAAAAACTTAAGTGGACAACTGTAAACTGAAAACAAATGCTAACCGCTAATTCAACAGCATCATTGAAGTCTTTACAGGATCTGCTGGCAAGAAAAGTCACAGAACAGTGAGGAAATTTGATTTGATTGATCTTAAATTTGTAATCAATCAAAATGAAGCAGACAAAAAGACAAGACCTGTTTATTTAATGCCATTCTCTGCAAAAATGCGTAAACTCGTCACAACTTGCAGCACCTTCAACCAGACAAGCAGCACTAAACTAGTCGGGGTTGATTATTTAAATCCATAAAAACACACGACAAACTGAAAGAGCCCTCACCTCCTGTGTTTAATTCTGCACTGGTGAAAACGCGTTCATCATTTTCCAGAGAGATGAGAAAGGCCTGCCAACAATTTAAATTTGGTGGCACTTTGAAACAAGACTGAGGCAGAGAACAGCAAACACAGCAGACGATGTGATTCAGTGCATCCAAAGCTTTGTCCATTCAGCTCGAAGAGACAACTACTGGAACAGATTTGACCACTCAGCTCATTTATGTCCGATATAAATGTTCGCTTGTAAGCCTGTACTAGTGTATTTAATGTCTGTCATAATAGATAACAGCAGTACTTGGAAAGCTCAGTATTTTCCGAGGTGATACTTGCTAGCGAAAGTTTGGGAACCACTGCAGAGGAAACCCATCAGATAACCAAACCCTTTTATTAAAAACAAACTGACTCCAGATGATGTTTCTTTACTTAAGATAATTCATTATGAATCAAAAATGTGTGGATCATCATAAAAATTTATTACTGAGATGTTTCACATTCATGTAAAAACATTGTAAACTTTGTGGTGATGCTCATACCTGGAACTAGAATAAGATATTTAAAAATGTCAACAGCCACATTGATCGCTTTTAACTTGAAAGCAGCACCATAAGGAATTTTCCGTGCGTTTTCCATTACCACTGAACAAATGAACTAAGTTTGTGCATGAGGCGTAAAATACGGTAAATAACCTGAAGAATTTAGTGCGAGTGCGTTAAATTTACAGTAGCTAGTTTCATTGGTCCACTGTGACCAGTCCGGTAATTTTATTGGTCAGAATTTGTTTTTAACCTTTGCTTACTGTAAACAGGTAACCTCATTAATGTACGTCTATCTTAAGGGATTGGTCTTAGAGAGTACCTCGTTGGCCATTCAGGTTAGACTTCTGGTCACATGATGACAAAGTGGGTGGAGTTATGGTGGGAAATTTTAAACCCTGAGCGAGAGGCTTGGTACATGTGGTTACCTCAGGCATTCACTCTGTCAAAAAAGCCTGAGGGGCAGCAACATGAGCGCCCAGCTCTGTCAAAGGAGAATGTTAGTCAGTGGCAGGAAGCTGCCGAGAGACAACAGGAAGCCTGTCAAAATAAAATGTAAAAATATAAATTATTAAAATTATTTACAAATCAAAGACATAAATTAGCCGCTCCTGCATATAAACCACAGGGTCTAAAGTTCGAGAAAAAAGTAGAGGCTTATACACTGGCAATTATGGTCGTTGTTTGTTTTGTTTCTTATATCATTTCTTCTATTTACTTTTCATTTTATGTTTTTTTTATGATTGTCTATTGTTGTCTGTATCTTATCTGTGTTCTTTGTTTAAAACAGGTCTCTTCTGTAAACGAGTCCTCGAGGCTCAATAAATAGGCTGTATAAATAAAGGCTGAATGAATATTGTGACCAAAGAGTGTGTGCAATATTACAGTAAAAATTTAATTAGGGGAATCAGAGGCTTTACTGGTTTTGGTTTTACTGCGTTGTATTGTATTTTTGCTTTTATGGCTAAACAGTGGAGGAGCTACAAAACCAGTTCATAAGTTTCAGTCCATAAGTTTCCTGCCACGACTCCTGCTGCAACCTGCTGCTGCTAAACCACTAAATAAAGAACTGAAGGGATACAGAGGGAGAGATTTCCCTCAGAAAGGAAGTGATGTCATCCAGCTGCTACAGAGGAAATCCCCCTTGCCTTCCCAGCCATTTTGCCTCTGTTTAACACTCCCATATTTTTTCTCTTTCCCTTTCTCTTCAATTTATTTATTTATGTAACTTTTAAGTCGTTAACTTTTTCTGCATCCTATTGACTGGCTACTCATTTGTTTTTCATTCCAAATAAATGATAGTTTGCCTTTAAATATTTGTTTTATATTCTTGTCACGCTGTGGCTGTCATCCCAACAGGCATGTAAGTTAACATTGAAGATTTTTTTAATTATCGGTACTCTTTCTCCCCCAGTCAACACTTATGTAGTGACTGAAACATATACCAGTACACATGGTCAAATTTAGCCAACTTTTTACCGTCATGGTAATATTTGTCTAAAAAAAACATTTGGTTCTAAAGGTCTTAAATGTTGGCACCTTTCTAAAATATAATAATCTTAAGATAAATAGTAACACATAACCAAAACATAAACACAGAACAAAACCTTTTTTATTTAATACTTTACATTTTAAGCTGAAATTTTGAAACACGTCCTTTTTTAATAAGATTATTAATAAATTAAGCATTTACCATGGCAACTGAGGCCTACACACTCAGAGATTTAGCTCTTACTCTTTATGACCTTTCCTTTTCCGTTTTACATGCCTGACTCCTCCAAAACAGAAAATTGACTAAACATTAGTTTTAATAAAAGTGCCCAGAGTTACTAATTATTTATTAATCAAGTTACTCATGTTCAAGCTGCTGTTGTTTGGTGTATTGTTTTGCATTATTAGTGTTTAGCGTCTATCTCAGATCTTTAGCGTACCGTTTGGCAATCATTTAGCGTATATCTTAGTTTATATCTTAGATCATTATTTACTGTTCCTTTTTACACCTTATATTTTTGCTATTGTTGGGAGTAACTAGGACCCTGTGTACACAATTTCGTTCCACCTCATGTACCACATGTGATGCGAATGACAATAAAAAACCATGACCTCGATGTTAATAAAGTGGACTCAATTAACAGTTTCATATAAAAATTATATCATTTAACGCCTCTCAGGGTCCACTTGATACTTTTTTTTTTGTTTTAGGCTCTGAAGCATAAAAAACTCGACATGAAAGACAGTATTCTCAATAATTACTGTTTCTGAACCATTAGAGCTGGTCATAATGTTGTGCTTCAGACTAAAATACCATGATAATTCAAGAAAAATTCTGCAGCTCGTTATACTGACATGCTAAACAAATACTGTGAGTACTGAACATAATATCACTAAACATATTACCTTTAGCTAAAAAACTCGAGAGCTAAAAACTCAAATGATCTTTTTAGCAAGTTACAACACAATATGGATCTTTGTAGTCTTCGTAGTCACAGAATGATTAAAAAAAACTAAACGTATAAGAAGTGAGAACTGAAAGGGACAAAGTAAACTGGGGTGAAAACAAGCCACTGTGCAGACAGTTTCCTCACACACAAGCTGTTGTAAGATAAACTATTGCTTGTACTTCTGCTTAGTTAACGTCACATCTCTTACCACTAAACTTATCTGGTCAATCTTGAAGTCTTTCACTTAAACAGGTAATAAACAACACTGTTTAATATGTGTACAGCTCATTTTTTTAATGATCACCCTTCAGAGTTTGAGACCACACCATTATATCTCAGGGCTTGCAGCCAAATCTATTTAAATGGCATCTACACAACACTGAATCCAGTTTATTAATACATTTCTTCTCAGAAAAAAAATAAAGGTCCAGAGAAACAAAATAACAGGTATTCACTGACAAACTTCACATAAATGTGTTTAATTGTAGGCAACTATCCTCTGAAATCAGTGGTGCTCGTTGTTCATCTCTCTTTTCATCTTTTATTGTTGAGCACTTTGGTAACAGCTGCTGTTTTAAATGTGATTTATAAATAAAGTATGACTTGACTCTGTATGGGCATTAAAAAGTTCAAACATCATTCAACAAAGAAGATCCAACGGTCATCTTATTTACTACTGTATATCTGTTTATCTCTTAATTATTAAGCATTTGTTTACATTGAAAAGACCAAAAACCTATAGTGAAGATGCATTCATGAAATATCAAACTCCAAAAATACAACACATGACAATGAAATGTTCCTTTTGGTCTGTTTCAGGCCATCAATGCCACCCAAATAGTTTCAGACTTTCTATATGATATTTAATAGGGATGCACAATTTTATTGGCATGGTATCGGTATTGGCCAGTATGTGTGTTGAAGTTAAATAACGGATATCAGCCATTCCATCAAAATAACTCACCGATATAAAAGGCGCTGTTTTTATACATACAGTATATATGTATATATAAAAAGGCAATGTTTTTGTATGACTACCCAGTGACTTAATTTGACAATGAGCAATCCAAGTTGAAGTGTTACATCATTTTCAGTCCCTTTTTGACATAGTCATTTGGTAGCAGGTCAAATTGACAAAGACCATGCAGAATACTGTAGTATTTTAATCCCACAGCAGAGAAACCCCTGTAGTCTCTGTAAGGATGTCTAGGGGAAAAAATATTGGTATTGGTATCGGTTATAGGCCAAATAAGTTTTGACATACCAACGTTTCGGATATTGGCCAAAAATCCAATATCATGCATCCCTAATAGTCAATGACCTGAATTTATTTTTCTGAGAAAAGGAAGGTTATGATCAAACAAAAAATGCAACAAATGCAATGCAAAAGCTTTTGCTTTGTGCAGTGACAACAGACGGGCAAAAACACAGCCGGGCCAAACAGTTTTCTGTCACTTCAGACAGCTGGGTCTCAGATGGCAAAGTAAACAAGAACTTTCAGCAGAAGCACACAGACGTGACAGCGCAACATGTCTGCCGCTGATAGGAAGCAACCTCGAAGGGCAGCTTGCAGAAAAACATTTGAATGACTAAAGAAAAGGTTGACATTCGTGAAGAAAACAAACGATATGAGACGAACAATATCAACACTTTCAGTCCTAATCAGAACAGTTAGTGCAGAAACAGCTGCTCTTACCTAAGTGCTGAGCGCCGCAAGGCTGATGGAACGATGCCTCTCCGTCTCGGTGAATCTACAGAGAAACAGGAAGACACTGAATCAGTCTCTCCAACATGTGATCGTCACACACAAAGAAATAATGATGCAGAGTGGCGTGTCTGTTAGGAAGTGCTGCTTCTGTGTACAGGATGGGAGGCAACGACAGGACTCCCTTTGTAATGCCGGCATATTCTCTGGATTTAGTTCCCACTCTAAGGCTCTATCTTGTTCACGGAGGAACTTGCCTGCAAAGATACAACTTTGCTTTCTTCTCAGCCTTCAGCGCTCCAACGGTCACACACCAGCTCAAACATGTCCACAGACACACACGCGTTCACACAGCTTGTTAGAGATCTGTGGTTGGTTGTGAACACACAGAAATGAGGCTTTGCTTCCTCTGTGGTCTGAATGTCTACACAGCAGCTGTGGGTGTGTGTGTTACAGCAAGAGAGAGAGAGAGCTGGCTTCAGATGCACCATCCCCACCCCCTTTCCCTAGCCCCCTTACCCTCGTCTCAGACAATACAAAAAGCTTCAACAGTTTGGCCTGAGCAGTGCAAATATGACAGAGCTCTAAACAGTACCCTAACAGAGCCTCATCGAGGCTCACTGACTTTTAATCAACGCCATTAATGACGTATAGATAAAAGTGAGCAGCTCCGGCCTCATATAAGCCTAGTGAGCCGGGAGGAGATGTTTTGTTGATTAAAGCCACACTGCCCCAGTTTCTGAAGCAGAAAACTACATAACAAAAGCATCACTTGTTAGGATATGGCCTGTGACTTTGATACTGATATAGTAGCACTTCCTCAACAATACTAGATACAATTTCCTCCTTTTTGGTGCTGTGTTGAAGCTTTACAGCTTGTTTCCTCTGCTGCCTAATTCTTCCTATTTAACTTCCACCCACAGCAAGCTCAGGTTCAATCTGCTGCAGATCAACAAGCTTAGGCATTCCCCTTTAAACTTGCTTGTTTTCAACGGTGTACAAATGAACATCCAGAAACAGAACAGCCTCATCATTTGAAGTTCACGGCTCGTTTTCAGTAGGAGCGTCTGACAGGACAAAACAATGGTACATGCTAGACGGAGGACAATTAACTGGACAAATAAGTACGTTGATATTTTCTATCTTTTAAATAACCAGTCAGGCCTGCTGCAACTGTTGCAACTAGGGGTGCACCGATAAATCGGCCCCGAATTCCTTAATTTTTGGAAATTGGCCGTTACTTGCACGAGAAACCGATTTTATCGATTTTTGTTTTGTTTTAACAACAATTGTCTGAACTTCATTTATATTTCAGAGCACTACCTCATGGCCAGTTGAAACAAGTTTGTATTGTTTCTAGGATATTGTTCAAGGGTCTGTTTTTCACCAAAATAATATTGGAAAACTGAAGGTACATTGTGACCTTAAAACACCTGACAGTGTCGCTTATAAAACAAAATCGGTATCAGCCAAAATCGGAATCGGCAGGTCAGACTTTTTATAAATCGTGATCGGCCAGAAAACTGCGATTGGCGCACCCCTAGTTGCTACAGTCAACTCATCTCAGCCTACCGTTTTTTATTCAATCATTATTTATACAAGTTAATCCCAATGAGCCTTGAGGACTCATTTATGAGAGAGACCTGATTTTTAACAAAGAATGATGACAACAGTGGACAACGACAACAATAGACAATCATAAAGGATGCGTACAAATTATTTTTTTTAACAAGTGAAAATAAAATGATAATTAAAAGGATAATTAAAAAAGAAAGGTAGCAAAAAACAGCTAGATGGTAAAACGGTGTAGAATACTAAAAACAGGAAGATTCGCCTCTGTTAAGCTAAAATGCACTTGTTTATACAGTTTTTAGGTGTCTACGTTTAAATAATTTATTTGTTGTCTTCTTTCGGCTGCTCCCTTCTTCAGGGGTCGCCACAATGAACTAAGTCGCACGAAGACTTAGCAATTGTTTTTTGCCAGATGCCTTCCCTGACGCAACCACAGACCACCGAGCTACCACAACCCTCTGTGTGGAGAGAGCGCTGCTATCTAGAAGGAGAAGATGGTGGGGGGTTAAGGGCCTTGCTCAAGGGCCCAGAGTGGGGCAAATGAGGGTGGAGACAGGTGTGGGTGCTTCACTTTTCCCACTCTCATTTTTTTTTTTATGTTGTCGGTATGGGGGATCGACCCGGTGACCTTACTATTACAGATTCGCCTTCTCTAACCTTCACCTTCTCTAACCTCTGCTCCACCACTACACCCACTCCTGACCCTTATACGAGCATAAACTGACAAATTCCCTATAAAATTTCTCTGACTTCAGAATGTCCTGATGCATGCTCAATAGTCCAGGTAGATAAATCTAACAAGGTTGAGTCAGGTCCTCTGGATGGATTATTCTTTGTTGAAACATTTTGTCTTTTATCCTAAAGACTTCTTCAGTCTGAGGAGACAAGTGGTCTAAATGAGTTTTCTCCAGTGTAGCAGGACTCTTCCTTAGAAACAGGGTGAGAAGTTCAGCTATCCAGAAGAGACATCGAGAGGAACCAGTTGAGGTGGTTCAGACATCTGGTAAGGATGTCCCCTGTATGACTCCCTAGGGAGGTTTTCTAGGTATGTCCAACTGGGAGGAGACCTCAGTTAAGACCCAGGACACACGGTAGAGATAATATCTCATGGTTGGCCTGGGAATACCTTGGAGTCCACAGAGAAGAGTTGGAAGAGGTGACTGTAGAAAGAGAAGTCTGAGACTCCCTGCTCAAGTTGCTGCATCTGCGGCCCAACTCCGAAACAAATGGCAAATAAAAAATGAAAGGATGGCTGTTTGGGCAGCACGGTGGCACAGTTGGTAGAGTTGCTGCCTCTCAGCGAGCAGGTCACCCCAGTTCAAATCCCAGCCAAGGACCTTTCTGGGTGGAATTTGCATGTTCTCTCTGTGCATGCGTGAGTTTTCTCCCAGTACTCCGGTTTCCTCCCACAGACCAAAATCATGTATGTTAGACTGACTGGTAACTCTAAACTGTCCCAAAATGTGAGTGAGAGAGTGAATGGTTGTTTGTCTCATTTGTCTCTATGTGTCCCTGTGATGGACTGGAGACCTGTCAAGGGTGTCCCCTGCCTCTCGCACAGTGATAGCTGGATGTGGGCATCATGTGACCCCCGCAACCCGAAAAGGAAGAAGCAGGTAAAGATAATGTAAAGTTAATGTATGTATGTATGTATGTATGTATGTATGTATGTTTGTATGTATGCATGTATGCATGTATGCATGTATGCATGTATGCATGTATGCATGTATGTATGTATGGATGGATGGATGGATGGATGGATGGATGGATGGATGGATGGATGGATGGATGGATGGATGGATGGATGGATGGATGGATGGATGGATGGATGGATGGATGGATAGATGGATGGATGGATGGCTGTTTGCTTAAACTGTGTTCCTCATTACTAGATGTTAACACTAGCCATTTGATTGGTTGGTTGTTGTTGTTTTGTTTTTTCAAAGTAAAAAGCCAGTACTGATGTTCACAAATGAAGCCATTTGTGAACATCAGTACTGGCTTTTTACTTTTCATTCCTTAGATAGAGAACTTTACTAATTGGCTTTTATGTATGTGAATGTTTCTGTAAAGTGCCCTGAGACAACTTTGTTGTGATTGGCGCTATATAAATAAACTGAATTGAATTGAATTTGGTCATTCATCAGCAATGCTTAATGCAGAGAAGAAAGACTAAAACAAACAAAATGCAAAAATGAAAAAAAATAATAAAAATGACCGGATGGGAGACTCCATAGTACCAACAAGGTCAACTCCAGAGGGGTTTTAGGAAACTAGCCCACTGATCCAAAGAAACACTGAGCTCTGTTGTCCAAACCAGGGAGTGGTGAGTATGAGTGTGTGGCTGTTCATTTTTGCCTTCCTTCTATTTCACACACAGACACATACCAAACAGCAGAATGTTCAAGCACCTACACGGAGCAGCAGAACCACATGACAAACGTGTGTTGACTTTTCTCCCTCATCAAGACTCCTATGCACACAACAAATCCCTCCACCCTACCCCTCAACACACAGAGATGCAGACACAGAACACACAAGCTTTTTGTTCCTCCCTTTCCTCACAGCTGTGTCCAGCTATCAAACAGTGCAACATAGTGCTGAGAGAGAATAAACACGCTGACGAGGAAAGATTAGCTGGTCACAGAGGGCTGCAGTGCACACATACTGTACATCCAAGAGCCCTGCTGGAGGGTAAAATGAACGCCAGGGATTTGTACTATGTTTTAACAGGAGCATATTATGTAAGGTTAGAGGTGGGGCTTTGACATCATCATTTGTCAAAATGTTGCAGTTTGGTTGTCTACACAAAAATACCAGGGAGGAGTTTCAATATATTTCCCTGCTCTGTAATGTGTTTTATCAGCACTCTTCTAAAACGAAGTCTTAATTCATTCAACCTTTATTTATAAAGGTTAGTCTCATTGAGCCTCGAGAACTCATTAACAAGAGAGACCTGTTTATGTGGACACAAGGTTGTAATGGTTCAAATAAAAACTAAACTTTTACGTATTCACAAAATGCTGTTCTTGTGTGGACAGCTTTAGCAGACTGTTCACCCACCAGGACAACAACAGTATAGTTTTGCACTCCTATGAATGATAAAGTAGGAAATGGATTATAAGAAACAGATAAGAGCTAAACATACAGCGAGTGGATGTATCCACTTCATCTCTGCAATGCATTGCTGCCAAAAGCCTGAGAGGTGACTGAATGAGTGGATGATTGGAGGATACAGCTCCAAATGGACAAAAAGGAAGAGAAGCCACAGCCACAGAGGATGCTCACAAATCATTCCCCACATTACAGGACATCATAATGGAGGTAAAAGCTAGTAGCACCTGCCTGAATAAATATGTTTATTTTTCCTGTCAGAAGCACAGTGAATGAAGAGAGGAGCAGGGTGAGATATTTTAAAGTTCAGGAGGTTAGTATGCTTTGATCAATTCATCCCCAGAGGTTTAATGTGTCAGC